ACTACTACTACTACTACTACTACTACTACTACTACTACTACTACTACTACTACTACTACTACTACTACTACATACTACTACTACTACTACTACTACTACTACTACTACTACTACTACTACTACTACTACTACTTCTTCTAGTATTATTAGTACTACTACGACTACTACTATTACTACTACTACTACTACTACTACTACTACTACTACTACTTCTATTACTACTACTACTACTACTACTACTACTACTACTACTACTACTACTACTACTACTACTACTACTACTACTACTACTACTACTACTACTACTACTACTACTACTACTACTACTACTACTACTACTACTACTACTAGCTCCTGCTACTGCTGCTGTTGCTGCTGCTATCGTTTCTGTTGTTGTTGTTTTTGCTGTTTCTACTGTTGTTGCTGCTGCTACCATTCCCCGCATTTTTTCCTTTCCTTCCCATCCATCCTCCAAATTCCCCTCCCGTTCCTCCTGCACGTTTGTCCCCGTATCCCCCATCCTCCTTTTCCCTCTCGTCCCACCCCGTACACTTCCCAGTCTTTCCTCTCCCCCTGCCCTCCGCCGACTCCACCCACCTCCTCCTCAATCTCAGTCTCCCCATTCATCTCATAATCGCCCCCCGCCGCACCCACCCACCTACCCCTGGACGCAGCTCTGCGGCCAGCTTCGATCCGAACCACCTGTGAATTCGTAGGGGACCAAGCAAACCTTCACACCTTCACACCTTCACACCATCACACCTTCGCACCTTCACCCACACACTTTTAAGTCACCGGCGCAAAGGGTCCTCAGGTGCGAACAACAGATGGAAGTACGAATTGCGATCGAGCATAATCGAAAGCACAGCGACAAAAACGTCAATCACTGACGCGCAGGGATGGGTGGTGGGTGGGAAGGCCGTGAGCGAGCGTGCAGCGGCCAGAAAACCGAGGAGCACGTCCGAACGAGCTCCACTCAAGGTGAACTGAAACGCAAGTTGTTTGTCGTTCATACACACACGCACGCACGCACGCACGCACGCACGCACGCACGCACACACACACACACACACACACACACACGCGCGCGCGCGCGACCCCCTAGGGATAGGAGCCGCCACACCCACACACCCCTCCCCCACCTCCAACCACTCCTCTTCCTTTTTCTCCTGCCGCCGTCCGCCATGCCCCTCCACCCCCCGCGATGGTGCGTATCCGCTAACGGGTTGTCGAATTGACCCCTGGGCTCGGGCCATGAGCTGGCCCACAGAAAACGGATCGGCCCGCGGGCTTGAGTTTTCTGGAGCACTGGCTGCTGAATGGCGGTCCAGGCCCTCTTCGGCCACGAATTCGGCACGACACCACCGTGTGGACCGCGAACCGTTGGACGGGAGGGGACAAGACCGAGCCAGGAGCAGTCGGGAGCAGGGCCGGCCACGGAGCTCGGCGGCGGCGGCGACGGGCCAAGCGACGTGGTCGAGGACAGGCGCGGAGAGGGCTAGAGAAAGAAACCGGCGGCGGCGGAGCGGAAGCCGGTCGAAGTTCGGTAGGAATCACACTCAGCGCACTCAAGGTTTGCCGGAAGTTGGGCAAGGGCTGCTAAAACCGTGGCCGCTGAAACGGCCCCCCCAAAAGGGAAAAATTGACCCAACCATATGCAGTTGTGAATACCGCAATTGTGAGTATCTTTTTCGGCGGTGCCCACCAACCGCATGAGGGGCGTGCCGAAATGTGGCGGGGTACACAACACGAAAGAAAACGATTGGTCGAATTGCGAGAGACTGAGCGCGGGCGAATCGGAGCGCGAGTGAGTCTAAACGTGAACGAGTCTGCATGCGAGCGAATATATTTGCACGAATGCGATCATGGCTACGCCTCGTGTAAATTTATATGAATGCGAACGGTTCGGGTATGCCTGTCTGCGCACTCGCGACACTGAACGTGGCCGCCGCAGAAAGCTCCCGCGGGAACCCCGGCGGCAGCGCCCGCGCGCCGCGACGCCCATGTCGGCGCGCCCCATCACGAGGATCGCGCCCGCTTCCTCCCCTTTCCTCCCTCTTTGCCCGCGCGCTCCAAAGTCCAAAGCTGCGGGCGCAGCGCGGCGCGGAGTCCCCGCGACG